GGTTCCTGGCACGAGAGGAAGCGCTCGCCCGTGCCCGCTGTCGCTGCGCCAGCCCCTGCACCAAGCCCTGTGAGCACGGAGAGGAGGAAGGTGCCATTGCAGCCGCCGCCAGAGACGGTACCTTCTACTTCCCAGAGGCAGTGGCTCTGTTTTGGCAGTTAAACCGTCTCGCTCTCCAGCAGAGAGTAGCTAAACGCAGCGAACTGTTTGTTCTCACTAAGAAGCAGCCTGCATCCAAGGCCTGGTTTTATTGCCCTGGCTGAAGGCAGACAACGCAGACACCCTGCGCCAGCCCTGAGGGCAGCAAACCTTCTGCTGCAGGTCGTGGTACGATGACCGAATCGAGTACAGCTGGGTGGGGGACAGCTGAGTGCCTGCTGCTGGCCAGAGCTGTGCAACATCTCCAGGGGTGCGGTGTTGACCCGCATCTCCTACCTGCGGCTTCCCACCAAAAAAAAGAGAAGAAAAATAGAGACCCTAACAATTGTTCACCAAAGCTTTTTCAGTCTTTGGGAGAAGGGGCAGAAGCACATCATATGTTAACAGATACTTCTGAGTTATCAATAACCTTCCATGGAAGCAGAGATGGTTCAATAATCACATTGTCTCTTTGGTTTTGTCAAATGCTTCTGCAGAACCACCTGTATTTCAGCATGTGAATTTTAATACCGTGTGCCCTCCCTACCTACCAATTTTTAGAGTTTATTTTTTAAAATGCAGATTAAAAAAAAGCTAGGGAGAAACCCTATTTGGAGAAAAAGGCAGACTCTTAAGTAGAAAAACATCCAGGTTTAAACAAAGAACTGGGAGATATCTTACGTGTTTACTCTTACTTTTTTAGGTGGTTAGGAAACCAGCACAACACATAACCAAAACTAGTACTAGCTTTGCAACAGGAAACCAAAATGGACTGTACTTCTTGCATTCTTGAACGTTAATGCATAAACACTGATGATCAGAAGACTTACGGCACGTCCACGGTACACGACTTCAGCTTGTTGTGAAAAACTGAGATTTGTCTCTTAACGGCAATGGTAGGTAAAAGCTGAAAGGAGAATTGTGCTTGAGAAATGCCTTTTGTTTTTAAATATGAATGGTTTAAGGGTTCCCTTGCATTCCACATCAGAGAGTGAATTATTTATAGACAGAAACTTCTGCATGAAACATGCACTTCTGCAGAAGACTTGACACGAACAGTGTCAACAGTGACTGATCTTTCAGTCACTGGAGGCTAATTCACATTTCTAAGTGAAATTATTTTTGTTTGAAATCCAGCAAGTGTGTCTCTGAAGACCTCAGAGATGCAATCTGCAACAACTCCACTGCAGAAAGCAGGGTAAAACAAGAAACCCTCTGTCAACTCAGACCCACAAGGACTCACAGCAGCGACTGTTACTGCACGTACTGCTTCTGAACCTGCAGCAAATTCAGTATTTGAGCTTAAGAAACCAATAAGCACGAAGCCATTAAGACAGTAAAACGCCATTATGCCTCGTCAGATAAACAAGTTTCGGCTCAGATCCTAAACTTCAAGGGACGTTTCATCAAAAGGCACTCGAGTCCATCCATCACAACCTGCGCCTTTTACACGAGGCCCTGGCAGGGCTCCACTCTTACTTTGAGGTTTAATTTTCCTCCGGCCGCCCTCTTGTGTCTGCAGACAGGCTTTACAGGCAGCCCCCATCCCCAGCAGGCCCCGAGAAAGGCAAACCCACGTAGCTATAATACTCTTGTCATCACCAAGGTGAGAAAACAGCTCTGCATTGCCCTTCTCTTGCATCCTGCAAGAAATTCTGCCACCTGCACGTTTCTTTGCAAGATCTATCAGCTGAAGTCACAAAACGTAGTGGGTTTCAAGCTCATACATGTGCTTAACCGTGGACAACAGACATTTCAGCCACAGAATAAACATGACACAGACACACTGCAGTGTCCATCTTCCCATTTTATTTGTAATCCTCAAAATGATCCAGTGGGGATGCTCAGCTTCCCCTCCAGCCTTGGTCAACGAATGTAAAGGAAACATCAGAAGTCACATTGTACTGGGTCTGACCCTGCAACTGGACTCGTTCACACCAGAGCTGCAGGACAGTGAGCAATATGATCCAATTCAACTTCTGCATGCTTAGAACTTTGCAAAATACTGGATTAGCTCATCTGTAAGTTGCTAAATCACAACTTTTACCGGGCAAACAAAACCTCTCAAAGCAACACACTTGGCCCTACTAGCATTTCCAGAAGACTGGAACACGTACTTGTACTGAGCCAAGTACAACAGGTGCTGCGTTAAATGGGTGGGGAAGAGGGGAAGACTGCGCCTCAAGCCTAGCTAGTCACTCTCAACCCAAGTGGGAGACCACTCCCAACTCCAGATTTCTACCCAACTGCCACAAAACATGCAACGACAGACTATGCATAAAGGTATTTGCAAACAGAGCAACCTCTCCCTGCCCAGAAGCGCTATACCCTGCCTATCGGAGAACTTCTATAAACGGAAAGAGCTCCAGGCACTCAGGTGCAGCGACCGCAGGTCTGGTTCATACGCCATCTTCACTGGTGGAGGTGGTGTCGCAGCACAACAGTTAGCAACAACTCAGGCAAGTCCGAAGTCCTGCCTGTGGAATCATCAGGCAAATGGGTGAGGGACTGCATGTAAAACCCAAGACTTACTTATTCCTTCGCCCTTTCCTCGCAAGGAAAGAACACCATATAACAAGGAGGAAAGCGGGGGCATTAATTATGCCCAGGAGTGGTTAAAAACAGGGGTGTCCTCAACTGCTGTGTTTCCAGAACAGGGATCCAATATCTGAGCATCCTACAGAGTCCAAGAGGTGTGGGAAGATGATGGTTCTAGTCAGTTTTGTGTAAGGCCTGGAGATGTTCGTGCGTTTCTACTGCCCTTGTCAGTTCCTAGCCTTTTATAACAGCAATAGGTCTCAGTTTAATGGCTTTCTTGCTGATGCCAGCTGCGTGGCAGGTGTTAACGACATCTGTCACGTTCTTATAAGACTCTGGTGCCTGGAGGGGGAAGAGAGAGAGAAAAAAAAAAAAAAAAAAAGACCAAACTTTAAAGACCTCAAAGTCACAGGAAGTTAGATGTAGGCTTTTGAGATTCCCTCTTCTCTTTGCAAAAATAGAATCATAAATAGAATCATATGAATTGAGGGTACAGAAGTAGATTCACATGTTGAGAATCTGGCCACCTTACATATCTAAAAAAGACACTTAGCTTTCCAAATAAGTTTTCACCGTATTTCAGCTAAAATACTAGCTATCTGGGTTTAGTTCTCCCTATATTCTCAGATAATCCAGTCCACCAGCATGTGAGAGTGTCAAGCCTTGTTACCTGGCAGGAAGTCCCTCCAACTTCCTCCTTACAGACAGCCTTTAAGATTTATCTTCACTGCCTCTTAGTGACAGGAGTCAGCGCTGAACTCTATGGCTCCCCTCTCCAGCATTCTGACAAGGAAGCTGCTCTTACATAGAGATCTGAATACGATCAACATGTCTGTGTAACACCAACTCCCACAACAGCATAGTTCCAAATGATTAATGTACTGCTATGAATGAGATTGTGAAAAGAAAAGACATTCTATCATGTTAATGCAGAGGAACTGGAAGTCATAATATTCAAAGTTTTCTAGGCATTCGGAGTCCTCTTCTTGAGCAAATACAGGAATTCATCTTAAAGGAGGGAGAGATCTCATACACTGCTAATAATCTACACGACAGCTGCAGTGTAAAGTAAGTTTAAAGCTGGGAGAACATAATTCAAGAAAAGAATCCATAAAACACAATTACTTTTGTGATGCTCACACAGACTTCTCAGGGTTGACAGTAATCACCCCTATTGCCAGGCAGAAGAGCAAAAAACCATACTCCCTAAAACCTGTCAAACTGGCATCTCCCCTTGCAGCAGGATTTTAGGGACAGGGAAGACTTCACACTATTTTCCAAAAAACTGGATAGCTCTATCAGAAATCAGACAAGCTTTATATTTTGAGTACTAGCGATCACTCAGCTCTGCAAAAAAATCAAGTCAGGAAGGGAGACATTCAGCCAAGAAGCAAGACTCCCTTTTCCCTCCCAGATAATGAAGCATTAAACTCACTTCTTCCATGACCAGCTTGGGAGAAGCAACACGGATGGCAATGCCCATGTCAGCCAGCTTGTCCAATACATCCTGGAAGTCCAAGTTACGTCGAGATTTGGCTCGAGACAGTGCACGACCCTAGACAGCAGTTTTGTTAGTTCTATTTTTTGTAGCGGTTTAGAAAAAAACAGAACTCTTCCTTATGAAAGAAAAACATTATTACATTATACGGAAACATAGAATGGTTGAGGGCACAGACCACAGTAAGCCACAAAACGGGAAATGAATTTAGACTGCGGGTGGTTGGCTCCTGCAAAAATCACACATCTGGTATGATGGCTAGCAAAGTTCCATGGGTATAACATACAAGTATGCAAGTGTCTTTTTACCCGCAACACTTGTCAGACAGTGCTCAGCAGTCGGGAGTTTTACTGGAAGCTGTTTATCTTCCTCAATGATCCTGTCTCATCCCGTAAATAATAGGGGAGGAAATACCTTCTCCTACCTATTGAGGAGTTTTATATGGACAGCCTCAGCACAGTTAATACTTCTTGTTAGCTCACAGATATCAGAATTTGGGAAAAGGAGCTCATTCTCTACATCTTCATCCTAACATTTGCCTTGTATAAAGCAGCACCCCCTACATTTTCTGCACTAGTCAAAACTACTCAGTAAGGGACAAAGAGGACTTCTGGCCTGTGGTCCTACTGGGCTGGGATTACTGCAGCAAGGCTACACCTCTATACTCTCTACTTGTATGACCAACAGATGAATCTCACACTGAGAAACCCTTGAACAACCTTGTTCTCTGGACAACAGTCCCATTCCAGTCCTTTCCTGAAATAACTTTTCGACTTACGGCTCCATGGCAAGTAGTTCCAAAGGTCTCCGTCATGCCTTGCTCTGTGCCAGTAAGAACGTAGCTACAGGTGCCCATAGTCCCGCCGATCAAAACAGGCTGTCCAGTCAGCTGTGGATGCAAAGTATTAATTCACAAGAAAAACCCTAAAAACCTCACTCTTAATAAAAGTCTGAGAGGAACTGTATCTCCAGAAAAGGGGGTCAGGTTCACATTCCCTCATAGCAACCCTGCTTGCTTCAGGTGTCTGGTATCAAGGACTCTGGGGAACTAACTGCACTGAAAGATGCACACCAGCAGATCAAAAGACTTGTGTCCATCAGACAGACAAGGCAAATTGCTGAAGCCTGTCCTAGGTATGAAACGCTTCTTTCCCTTCATGATCTTCCAACCATTGTGGGTGTGGAGCAGAAGAGGGAGCTCAGTGTCCCAAAGATCTAACACACAAACAAGCAGAATATTGCCATCCCACTAGGGTTCCAGTGCTGTTAGCTCAAAAAAATAACTCGCAGCATTTAGCTCTCTGCTAGGAACCCTAAAATTGTCCGACTGATCCAGACTTCTCTTCTGATTTCCCTCTCCCACAGCTAAACTTACTTGATAATCAACAGCGATAAGAGGGTGGTGAGGGGGGAAGGCCCTGGTTGATCCCTTTCTGTGCACGAGCAGAGTCCGCTCCTTTCCGTCCACTACATGTTGCTCCACTTTGGCAATGTTGTGAGACACATCATAGATAACATGCATATCAAGGTCATCTGGGGTTGTGTTGAAGACTTTGGCAAAGGCCTAAAAAGAGAGCAAATCAGGATGGGAAATACAAGAAAACTGCTGTGTACATGTGGAATATTTACAATCTTTTTAGGAATTAAAAGGAGCAAGTTTGCTTGAAAGGGTTTCTTACAGATAAGTCAGTGACCTAAACATTTCGCATGTCAGGTAAGAAACTTTAGTCAAATTCAGCCAAAACAGAATGAATTCAACAGTGCTGGGTGTGACAGAACTGGACTGTCTAGATTGTTTATTTGCCATTGGTAGCTTTAATGCTGGAATCCAGTCAGGTATCAACTCCACAAATTCTTGCAACTCTGAAAACATGACTTCGGCAGTGTAAAAACAATTTTATTGTATGCTCTTTTTCCAGTTCAAGGCATTTTCAAAAATATTCCTTATGTGGCTTCTGCAAGTACAATCCAGTGATGTTGAGAGGTTTCAGATGGATAGCCATAACTGAGCTTTGTGTAAGTTTCTCCAGAAAATACAGTTTAAGAAGCACAAAAATGAAAATGACGTTAAATACTGCAGCTACTCTGTGTTCCATTCTTCTGGGATAATGCAGGAGATGTGTACCAAAATATTTCCATTGGAGACAACTCTGCGCTTACCTGTCTTGTTAGAAAAGTCATAGAAGATCCTGTCCCTCTGCAGAGGAAATCCTGGCACACGCCAGCTGGCGATCATTCACTATGATTTTGTCCCGTTTCATAGCTTTTTCCATAGCCACCAAGGCATCTGCGAAATAAATACAGCAACTTCTTAATTTCATTTCAATTTGTGAGATTAACATGGGTGTCTATCATTTATATTCTAAAACTGAACTCAACCGTCTGTCAGTCAAACCTACGGCTTCTTCTCAAATACAAAAGCAAATCTGTGGCAGAACATTATCAACTGTTTGCAAACAGACAACCCCTGTCGTAAGAAATACTCTTTTGTTCTGGAGTTTACTGTCAATGACAAGACCACGCCGAAGAGGTTGCTTCACTCCAGGGACCTACGACAGTCAGATCATACCTGTGGCAACCTGGTGGCCCAGGCCTCTGCTGCCACTGTGGATCATCACGCAGACCTGCCCTTTGTGGTCGATGCCCATCTTCCTGGCAGCGTATTCGTTGTAAATGTCGTCCACAACCTGGATCTCGGCGTAATGATTTCCAGCTCCCAGGGTCCCCAGCTGCCAATCACAACACACTGATCAGACAGTGCTAGTAAAGCAGCCTCTGGGAGCACAGGGGAGAGCTACGGGAATGTGGGCAGTAGGGCAAATTGCTACAGCAAGGTTTTGGTTTTGGAAAAGCTTCTCCAGGAAAAAAAAGTCCCCATATAAACTGAAAGGAAGTAGAACACAGTAGCACCATCACTGTCCTCTTTGTTCAGATTTGTAACTATTTTTACTGTTTCGACAAGACTGCAATTAAACGAAATGACCAGTATCTACAGACTGTGCTGCCACTTTTTTCCAACTTACTTAGGTCTAGTTGAAAGACGGGAAAAGTACTGGGTACTGAGAATTCATCTTCAATTTGTATAGGCAAGGCAGACATACAGTCTTATACTTGGTTCTAATGCCACAAGGAAGTTACAACATCCTGTTAATTAGATACTTACAACCTTTCAATAGATTAAAGCAAGATACTCCATTTCCAAGCCCAAATTTTTTCAACTCCATAACAGATGATCACTTATTTGCAAGGCGAATGTGAAAATTGACCACATAATATTATTTTGAGGTTAAAATGCCACAATCTTGCAGCACCACAATTCGAAAAACTCAGTAAGTCACATTAAAAACAGCTTTACAAATACCAATGTTAGTATAGCCATCTCAGAAGTGTTCAACCAGAGCAACAAGATAATAGGTATAGAAAAGAAATCCAATGCTTGGACTGCAATTCGAAGTTATGAGCTTGTTCTGTTTATGATGATATCCTTCCTTGCCCTGCTATTAATCTGCTGAGAAAACAAAGAGAAAAGTTGCAGAGTAACTTGCCTGTCTCAAAAACAAAACTACATCTGGATGAGGAAATGCACCAAAAATTAATTCCAGTGCCAGGTGTTGTTTGATGAAAAACTGATGGCCCCAGGGACCTTGGGTATGCCCGGTATCGTTTCCCTCTGTTACAGTTCTATCAAGAGTTATTCAGAAACGGCCCCACCATCTCACCTTTCCTCCTGCCCAGAAATTCTAGGCGGAGTTTCAAGAAAAGACAGAAAATTAGAGAACTACTTGCTAACCTTCGCATCTGAACCCTGGGAGCACCCACAGCCCCCCCGAAACACAACATTACCTGAGGCAGACCTCTCTTCTTCGCTCTTGAGGAGACCTTGTTGGGGTCAGCCTGCAGCATTCTTCCATATTCCTCACAGTGCTCCTTGTCCTCTGCCCAGGCATAGCCTTCCCGGAGAGACCAATCCACACCCATCTCCAGTGCCTCTTCCAAATCCCTGCAATTATCAAACACCTACATAAGTGTCATCCTTAGAAATCCTCAAAACTCCACTGGATATGGTCCTGAGCAACCTCATGTAACTTTGTCATTAGACCTACCTTCAGAGTTAGCCCTCCTATGTGCAGGGAGTTGGATGAGATGACCTCAAGAGAGCCCATCCAACCTAAATTATTCTATGATTTTATGATCAGTCCCCAACTTGCCTAACCAGAAGTCCAACTTCTTACTACTTCATGCAAATCAATCTCTATAAATGTATTAACCTTAGTTAGGTTATTACTTTTTCCTCTTTGTTTTGTGGGGAATATCCTATTTTCTCTCTCATCCCCTTCAAAATATGTCTTTACGTTCATGGAGGTTTTCTGTCAGAATAAGTGAGAACCTTCCAAGAGTTTTTAGTTACTTCAGGGTTTTAAATGGGGGAAGAAACAGCTGGCTTTTTGCACTGATGATTATGCCAGTCCTCCTGGTGAAGTACACGTGCAGAAAGAATGGAAAGAGGTTTGGAATTACTTCTTCTTTCTTAACGTCTCCCACTGATGAATCTTTCATCAAAATAAACAACGGAGATGTCCCCTTTAGTGATGTACGCACAAAGTCATTCTCTTACTTGGCATTCATGGGGATAACACCCTTGGAGCCGACACCAACAGGAATGTGGTCAAACATAGCCTGGGCGAGCTGCTCCTTCACAGGCTGCACATCACTTTCATCCAAATTTGTACGAAGTAAGCGGACACCACAGTTGATGTCAAATCCGACACCACCTAGAAGTGTACAAAAAGCCAGGGAGTTGATAAAGTGCGCTGATGGCGAGCATTTGATGAATACTCATCTTAAACCAGTGTCCCTGCTGACAGGGAGTATGTACTGAATGCTGTAATCTTGCCCATTCTTTCTGACACAATACTGAGAAAAAAAGCAGAACTGCATTAAGCTTCATTTTAGTAGATTTACATGAAGCCTCAGATTTCAAGACAGCCAAAAATGTACTCCTGCAGAGAAAAAACTGAAAACTCTTTAAAAAATCCAAACAGCTTTTCAGTCTTGAGCATACGCTCTACAGACATAGCTGTACAACTGCCTACAGAGCTCTGTGTTTACAAAGTTGCTCCAGCAAGCAGACAAAGAGAACAAGACACAACTATAAAATACACTGCCCTCAGAAAGTAAAGGGGATGTTCCTGCTCTTCTGCAAAGGTCAGAAGAAAAATGACAGATCTTAGTATGGCTCCCTGATGCAAGATGTTTTTGAAAGCAAGTCCCTGAAAGCAAGTCCTTTTTGAATCTTCACTGGAATAAACAACAACTAGTTATAATATAAGTGATAAATACTTACAAGGAACATTAAACTTCAGTGTTTAGTGTTTTGCTTAACTCTTAGTATTTAATAAAAATAAATGTTGCGGGCCAAGGCCTAATGTGAAAGACCAATCATGCCACCTTTAGTACGGAAGTTCTGATATTAACTAGGGTCACAGGGGAGAGACCAGACTACGAGATCTTGCATTTGAGTCAATCAGGAGTACTGGAACTGCCTGAAGCAAACCTGAAACACGTATAGAATTTTTGATGAAAACCACAAAAGCATCTCCAGATCATCAGTAATTAAAAACTCAGATTTTTATTCAAAATACAGACATATTTTAAGGTCACATTTTTAAAAAGGTGTAGAAACACTCTGAAAAGATGTTTTCAAACACTGCTCAAAGAAAATAGTCAATTCTTTACCATCCTGGCAAAACCCTAGTTCAAAGCCTTGTGCTCTCCCTTCAAAACTGAGGGATACCACGAGCCCAAGCCAAAACCACAAGGGCAATTCTCTCTGTACTGTTTAGATGTTTTCAGTGCAATCACCTGCTCCATAAGGAATAAAGATTCTGAGTGCAAGAATTAAGCACCGTTTAACTCCCTATGATTGACGTATTTTTTGCTTTGGTTGCGTATATAAAGTACCGTAAAGACCTGCCATTTCAAAAAGTGTTTTCATGCCATCCCAGGTATTTCTCAGTGCAGGTTAAGTCAATCATCCTCACCTGGTGAAACCACTGCTTCAGGATCATTCATATCAAAGGCAGCCATGTTGCCAATGGCAAACCCATATCCAGAATGGACATCTGGAAGGCCTATTGATCTCTGAAAGAGAACAAAGGAAATTTTTAAGTTTTACGAAACTCTGTGCTGCACAGACACTGTGGTTACACTTTGCCTTGTGGCAGTGGTTGTCACATTTGCAAACAAACACATCAAAAAGAGAATGGATGTTCAGATGTAGATGGAGTAAGCACATTCATTCATGTAAGTATCCAAATTCCTGCAGTTACAGGCCAGACAAAGAAAGCAGAGAGCAGATCTCACTCTGCAGCAAACATCCAGTGGCTACTCAGCTGAGAAGCCCTCTTGGCTCCATTGACCAGACCTCAAGAAAACTTCAGAGGAGCTGACGCACCTAAATGTAGGAATTGGGATCTCAAATGGAATTCTAACCTAGCTTTTTCTTGAACTCAAGAGTCACTGCATTCAAAATTTATGCAGGCAATATCTTATGAGTAACACAGAGCAGATATATAAGAGTGAAGATAAGCTCATCTTTACCAAGTTCCGTCTAGAGACATCTGCAGTATTTAAATACCATAAATGTAACACGGGAAAAGTTCAATGCTATGAATGCAATCATAAAACAGTCAGCATTTTCTCTTCTTAGCTGCGTCACTGAACACTGACCAAAGGCTGCATCGTGTAGACAGGCCAAAGTCATCCTTTCAGGATAATATCCTGATAGGACAGGACAAAATATGAGCTGTGTCATTTTAACTTAGGAAATATTTTTTTTACTGAACCTTTCCATATTACTACTAATTAAAGAAAGTAAGAGCATGCTTCCGCACAGAGCCCCAAGTTCAAAGTATATCTAGCCTGGCAAGTTTAGATTAGGACACCACAAACAGCGCTGAGCAATCTATTTAAGCAAACAAAAAAAAAAGCCCCAAACACCCAGAAAGCCATCAGAAATTGGAACCTTTTAGCATGTGTTAAACTGTTACTATACACTAAAAAGAATAGTACTTTTCAGCATGATTATGTGCTTCTTCTGCCTCCCCCTGCTATCACCAAGAAAATCTCTTGGTTTGGAAATAAAAAGTGAAGATTTGAATAGACAGATGATTGTAACATCTCTCCCACAAACTACCAGCCAAAATTCCCATTTTAACAGGTTGCTACTATTCTACCTTACTCCCTTTTTGGTTGACTGCTAAGGCATTTTAACAGCGTGATGGGCTGCCTTTTACTACAGCCAGAAATTAAAAACTTTTGCCAAGTCACCAAGAGAAACAATTTTAAAAAATGTTTTACTTATTAATATACACAATATTGAATGTGAAAAAGATCACTTCCACATTGTACTTAGCGCTTCTTGAAAAGCGGCACAGCCTAGTGTTTTCCTGCTGCATCACCATATCTGATGCTTCACTTCCCAAAATGCATGGGGCGGGCAAAAAAGTACTGAGTGCATGGTAATGCTCACTACTGACATTAGGGCAGCAACAGTAATATAGACAACAATGTCACCTCCTGCTCTCTGCTCACTCCTCCATGCATTGAAAGTCGGCAGCGGCAACTCAAAACCAACAAACAGACAATATAAGCAGTGGGGCAGAGCTGGCTCAGGCTAAGTGAAAGAGCATAAAGCAATGCTAAAAAAGCTTCATGTGAAAAGGCAGTCAATGAAGTAAGCGGATACTTCCCTTTCTGACAGCTTAGTTTTACAGCCTGCCCTTGCAAGCACTCCATACTCAGAGACGGCTTCTAGAACTTTGGTCCATACCCCCTCTCACAATGGAGTCCCCACTTGGAAGGCAATAATCCCTGGCAAACAGGAACACAAAAAGAGCAAACTTTCAGAGCAATTACTCACATGAACAATGCCAGGTAACGCAGCCACATTCCCAATCTGTTTCATAGCAGGCAAAAAGCCACCTGCACCTGAAAAAGAGGAAAAAAAAGAAGGTAAGTAATCTCATAACTCATCACGGTGATCACAATAAAGCACTTGCTAAAGAGGCTGCTCAAAACACTGGCAAATCAGAAGTTGGACACCAGCAAGTATTCTGATCTGGTGCAAAGCCACACACGATCCGCAGCTTCACGAGATGAGGTATCACGCGAAAGGCCTCCCTCCGCTGCGCCAGCACCAGCGCACACCGCCCTGTGCAAACAGCTGGAGCGCGTTCCCACCAACCCAGCTGCCGGATCCGGGTCCGGCCCCGCGCAGAACA